AGTAAAAAACGAATATCAAGAAATAGATAAACCAAACTAACAAACTCATGAATCTGAAAAACATACAAAACCGGAAAAAATGTAACAAAAGCTGTAGATTAATAACTTTGGTTGTAACCTTACACAATACACAAATGAGTGTATTGTCTTCATTTTAAATAAAAATTGAATTGTTTATTTTATTTAATACTTTGAAGGCCGGAAATGGCTGTTGTCTCCTTCCAATTTAGCCACCCTGTATAAGTTAACAAATTATCTATCTTGATTTCTTCAAACTGTATAAATTAGATGATGAATAGATCCGTTAAGCAGATTTTATTCTAGCAATGAAAAGAAATGTTTAAGCAATGCTAAAAGCCATGAAGAATATTTAAAAGAGAAGGACAAAAATCGCAACACATAAATATTTTAATTGCTTTTCCTAGACAGACTGGTAATAAAACGAGAAAATGTTATAATTGAAGCAAATTGGTTTGGTTTTGAAATTTTCTCAAATCTGGTCAATCAATTTCGATCAATTCCGAAAGCCCAATGAAGCAAAAGTTAAAATAATTCATAATTCATTCATTCAAGGCTTACTTTAATCGAGTTTCGACTAAATGTTGTTTGATTAAAAAAATTAGTTAAAAAATGACGTTGAGAAAACCGCCCAAAATCATTTTTTCCAAATGGAAACCTTAATTTTTGATAATTTTATCTTAACCAGTATTAAAAATAAGGGCAACTTTGTGTAAAGAGGTCTATTCTAAAAGTGTTTGGTTTTCAAAATATTGCCAATTTAATATTCATATGGCTATTTTGTCGCATCTTATTTTAAATACTGTCACTCTCAGTTGCCATGACAAAAGTGGCCATTTTTAATATAAACGAAGATTATTTATACTTATTTATTATTTACGGAGAATGTGATGAAGTTATTTCAAGGATTCAAAATCATTTTCAAACATTCTGTTTTGTGTCAGCGAATATTCAAAATACCCAAACATCCCAATTAGGTTCATTCAACATGCGCAAACCACCACCATCGATCCGAAACAAGAAGCTCCGGTATTCCATTCATGATAATCTTTACGCTACTTTACTACACATTCCAAGACTCCGATGGTCGCGTCGATTCAAATTCCTCGGGCAACCCGATTCCTATTGGCCAGAGTCGAATTATTCCACGCATTCCGACGAAGGTTCGCAGCGGGGCGTTTCCCATTCTTCGGGTCTCCCCGTCTGCCATCGGATGAACGAAAATTCCGCGAATTATTCACGTTTTAGATGGGTTTCGGTTAAAAACCCAGGTTTGAGGTGTCAGAGTAAAAATCCAGATGACAGAATTTAACCACATACAGGATGTTTTTCCCGCCCAATTCCAAATTTATTTAATAAATTCGCTAATTTTTGTTGAAATTCACGCATGCACAAAGTCAATTTGAGGAATTTTGGGAAACTCTAAATTCAAATATTCATGGCAACTGAGAGTGGCGCATTTAAAATAAGATGCGGCAAAATAGCCATATGAAGAAAACATTAAATTGACAATATTGCGAAAACTAAACACTTTTGGAATAGACAACCTTACACAAACTTGCCCTTATTTTTAACACTGAATAAGATAAAATTATTAAAAATGGAGGTTTCCATTTGGAAAAATTGATTTTGGGGGGCTTTCTCAACTTCATTTTGAAACTTATTTTTTTAACTTTGTGTTAATAGTTTTTTAAATGTTGTCGAAAATTCCATGTGACTCAAATTACGTAACACGTATTCCCTTATAGGAAAAATGAATTCGAGTGACTGCATCTGTCATTTTTCACAAAAAAGGTATTCATGTGCTTTCAAATAAAATTCATGTATGTATATTATATATAAATGAATTTTATTTAGAATTTGGATTAGAATTCAAAAATATAGTAATATATAAGGTGTTCCATTTAAAACAAGCAAGCTGATGCCTAGTTCCGGTATAACCGGAAGTGTGACCATATTGACAATATTTTAGATCGCTTGCGCTCAATGACTTCGACATACCGTCCAATTTTCAAATTTCTCCTAATTACAGTTTGCCAGCTATCGATTGCGGCGGTTCCCGGTGGGACACCTTGTATAGAATGAAACTGAGCATGGAATATTAACCTTTAATATTGTTAATCTTAAAACTTTATTTTTGAAAGCTTAAGAGTTTTCAAACATAAAGCCATCAACACCAAACAGACAACGAACTAAACATGTCCTTCAAAATTTCATTTATAACATTCATAGCCACCAAAGTAAAACGTTTGAAACCTTTAAACCCGAAAAGCTGAATCAGAAAAAAGGGTATAAACAAATTTTAAAAAATTATAGTAAGAATGAAAACGGAGGAATGAATGACGGGAATATCAGAGCATTTCAAACTGTGAGTGAAATAAAATTTAAATGAGGAAGATTTTACCGAATAAAAGCAACCTCAACTGCCTTGAAAGAATATATGAGTCTATATAAAAGGTAAAAGTTTAATTTGGGAAGTAATATGAATCAGCTAATGACAAAAACAAGAAAATATTGTAAATAATGTAACAAACACGTACTGAAAAAGTTCACACATGCTATGTTAATATACTTAAGAATTTAACTAACATATAATTTTGACCGGTTAGTTTTATAGGCAAATTATTATAAATTGTTGATTTGTTTTGCGAACGTTCTATTGTTAAGTTTTGGTGGTTTAGCATAACACATTTTAGCGGCAACCCTATAAACTGAGTATGTTAATGTGTTTTAAATCATAGCCATCAGAAACTCACTATTCATTTGGTAGAATTTATAAATATTAAGGAATGAGATAATAGATTCTTTAATGTCAGAAAGATTGATGCGAATTGGAGTCATTTTTAGAATTAGTCATTCGAGCCTGATGAAAATGGTCAGAATTTTCCCAATTTAGGCAACTGTTAAAATCGCCCTACTGGTTAGGAAAATAACGCAAAATGGAGCAAAAAACACTTTGCTTCGGGAAATGGACAAATATCCGCTCAAAAATGGAACATCCCGAAGTTCCCTAAAATGTTGATGAAGCAAATCGCGCACAATATTTTACATCCACTAGTAAAGAATACTAACAATATACTAATATAATCCTCAGAATCGTCGTACTCGGATTTAACATTTATATGCTGCACTTTCGATTTTATGTTTTCAATAAGATTAAATAAGTAGAATCTAATCAAGTTCAGCTTTGGATAGAGATGAGTTATTTAGATGTTATAGCTAGACGGCAAGGCACCTTCAAACTTTAATTAAAGCCACTACAAACTACTGAGATGAAATAAATTAATCAAATGTTTTTGTTGCTTCTAAGTGCGTTATAATTTCAGCTGATGAAAATTAATGACGCTGCCGGAAGAAGCGGCGTAACCGATTTGCTGTCCCTAATTCGGGATGTCCAGTTTTGTCCTTGTCAAATTTGAAAAACCCCTGGAGATTAATTTTTCATTTATATCAGGGAGCTAAAGCTAGATACATTAGTAAGGGAACTTTGGTAAATCGGGTTTTTAGTCGTGGTGTCGATACTCATATTAAAAAATTTCAAAAACAAGCAATAAGCGAGAGAATCATCAACCTCAACTTCAAAAGATCAAAAATAACGATAATTGGAACATACATAATATAAGAAAAATACTATGAATCACTATAACTCGTCTCCAAAGCAGGTCAAACGAGAAAAGTAATTATGCTTAATGACTTAAATGCGGTAGAAGAGCAGGAAACTCACTGAAGATCATGAATGGCTGTTTAAAACATAAAAACCTACACAAACGCATGAATCCAATTACTAGAAATCTAAGATCAATTATCGATTATGTAATAATGAAGCAAATCTCGAAAATAAGTCTCACAAAAATTATACACCTACAAAATCAAATGAGAAACAACATAATTGAAACGGGAGTACAAGACAATTTTATAAGCAAAGGTTAGATCAACAACTACCACAAGAATATAGTCATGAAACAACTGAAAACTTAACTAAAATAATAACAAAAGGAGAGCACCAAGCAGTCAAAGAAGGTATAAAATAAAGTACATCCAAAGAGAAAAATTGATGGTCGAACGATGAGCTGCAAGAATTGAAAAAACAAAAGTTATATTACAGATAATTAAATGCGAAAGAACAAGAACACAAAATAGAATGGAGAACAAAATAGAATAGAAACATTAAATTAATAGAAGGTAAAATTCCTGGATTTTAGGCATTAAACATTTTGAAATTGTCCACTAATTATTTCAAAATCGTCTTCGTCTTCGCAAAATATGAGATTTTTTATTAGAATGTTTTCCTGTTCTAATAATCTGCAACTGAATTTAAGCCACTTTGTGATAATGATAAAACTCAAAATTTAATTTAAATTCGGGATTTTAAATTAAAAAAAATTGTGAATTATTCGTTCAATATATTTTCCGGTCAGAATAAATAAAAATATATCAATTTCTCAAAATCCCGTCCTTTAAATATAGATTGTCCAATACCTAACAGAAATTCGAATTAATGGCAGCCGTTTTCAAAATTATTTACATGGGTCTGTTAGAAATAGACATTAATTTCGTTTTTACCCTGCCAAGTTATACCCTATTTAGGAGCCACAGAAACACGAAAGAGCACATAAATTTCGCCCCGGCTGCTTTTTACCCGATATATCTCCGAGTTGTTTTGCTACAGATTTATTGGTAATATTTTACAGTTGGGGTAGTTCATTTTGTTTGACCAACTAGAGGATATTGTTTTGTTTGAGCAGCTTGATAGTAATTGTTTGCTTGGAAATATTGTGTTGTTTTGAAGTATTTCTATATCTAACTTAAGGGAAAATGTATTTGATGTATTTAAAAATATCGTAATTATAATGCCGATCGATTCAATATGAATCTAATATTCCAAGATTTGTCCGCATTGTTTAATACTATTTCTGTAATACTCACTTTTAAAGCGGCTCAAACCGATGCAAAGTTAAAAATTATCAAATCAAAAAATCAGCTATACTAAATCTTCACTTTATTCAGGGAAAGAATTGGCCATATGAAGTAAACTAACATAACATATGAACAATTGTTAACTATAAACAATATTTGAAGACCCGATGTTTGAAAGCCAGTAGCCAACAACCAGCAGTAATTCTTTAAACGTGTATAAAATTTGTTCCAATTAATCCACTGTAAGCATTAAAATTGATGAAGTCACGATTTTATTCAATTTAGTAAAGAATCCGAATATAGTCCCAAAAGAGAAACTATTATTAGTAGCTACCTACTGCTAGACAATAGAAAAATAATGACTACAGTAACTCGATTGAGTTCAGACTAAAATTAGCCGTAAAAATAATTTACTGCCTGACAATATTATAAAAGCAGATATTTTCAGATCAAAAATTACATTTTATTAATGTAAGAATTATCTGAAAAATCCAATATTAAAATGCCAGTATTAAAGCCTCGTAGCAAAGCATATCCTAAAATTAATAATAAATAAATAAATACGCTAATAAATAAAGGTAAAACTTAAAATTAAATAGTTGTCAAAAATTGAAGAAATGACATAAATTGAAATTAAATAAATATAGTACATTAAGTTTTAGGCAATAATAAAATTAAGTCAGCTAAAATTGACTTGAAAAACATTCTTGTTTACATTCAAACCGTTTCAAAATGTTTAGCAACTTCGGAAAAACAACCGTGTAACGACAATTATCCGGACCAAAACCATTTTCAAATGAAATGCATTAACAAGGTTATTAACCGCTAAAAACTTTCTATAGTAAATAATTCTTTAAAAATTAGATAACAATTAGTGCTGCAACATTGTAAGAAAATCAGAACAATTAATTCCCACAAGAGACAATTAAATGTTGCTAATATCCGACTAGTACGTGTTATTTCCGCTTTTTTTTTTAAGTATATAAAACAATGTCTCGACTTTTTAGGACTAGTTACGAATGAAGAAACTTTTGTATAAGAATCGCTACAAAAAAAAGTTTTATCCTATCATAGCACCAACCAGTCTTTTAGAATCATTTCTCCTAAATACCAACGTGTATAAGCCTAATTTGTACATTTTATTCACCTTACGATGAAGATCTTGTCTTATAACCATATATATACAAAAGTCACCAGAGTACCTTTAGATCACATCGTTTGAATGTTTATTTTTCTCATCCTCCCGTTCTTTGAAAAACCCTTTGCCTGTCTTGCACTCTCTAATTGTTACGGTTTTCAAATTAACGGTTACATCGGTGATGAAAACTTGATCAGCTACTGGATTTCGGGAAAGCCAATATTGGGAACCAGGACTAGTCAACTCTGACGATTCGTGCGAACCGTTATTGTTGTTATTATGACCATTCAATGGTAGAGGCACAATATCTCCTTTCTTAATCTGCAACAATTGAATAGTTTTAAAGTGTTTCCTAAGATGGATAGTAATAGGGCATTCAGAGAGAATTCGCACAGATGTACAAGTACCTCAACTTTCACAGGTCGTTTCTCAGACTCTGCCGAAGGGATAGATTCTTTAGTAGAAGAATTAGCTATGTCGGCATCGGCATCAACATTTTTCTTGTCTAAGGACTGCTGTTTGGCCTGTAACAATTCAATTTATGCAATGCATAAATTTGTCTTAACTAGAAAATTACTTCGTGTTTTATTTTGGGTGGTGGTGGACTAAGATTAGTCGGACTGGTAGTTATAGTAACTCCAATTTTTCCACTCTCAGTGGATAAAACTTCAGCTTTTCGTTTAGTTCCTGCTTCTATTCGCGACAAAAGTGGTCTCCTATCTTCACTGCTTGAACTGTTTGAATTTTCATTATCTGCTGAAATCGGTGCTGCGGTTGAAGTCGATTCTGATGTGTCTTCCGACCCTGGAAGTTAATACGCCTTCTATTAAAAGTGACTTTATTCGGTAATAATGTACCTGTCCTAGTTTCTTCATCTTCAATTAAACCGGGAACAATTTCGCGTTCTTCACTTTTCTTATTGACAATATCGTCTTGATTCTTATCTGTATCCTTTTTCCTGTCGTATTTACCGCTTGAAATATGAGTTGTAGGGGCTTCATCTTGGCTTTCATCGCCTGCAATCAGGAAAATTTATTGATCATCTGGACACTGTACATATTCAATTTGAATAGCCTGTATTGTTGAGACACAATATCTCATTCGCTACTCTAAAACGGCAAATAACATGCAACGTGCCTTCATCTTCGGTTTCAACTTCCCTCTGGGATTCTTTCTTTTCTTTTCTTTTGGGACCCCTTTTGGCACTTCCTTCATTTCTCTGTGAAAGTTCAAATAATTCAATCAGCCTTGCATCCAGAATGTTCTCCTCTGGTTCCCATGTGTTGTGCTTTTGACTCCAGCCTTTCCATTTCACGTAAAATTCGACTATACCCTGAGAACAACGTTTGATTCGTAATTATTTGTTTCGTGTAATAATCGAATAGATTATCAACAGAGTTTATAACGGTGTTTACGCTTGCATTTGCGTAAAGTAGAAAACCAAAACGGCCGTTGATATTTTTCAGAGCTTTAATTAAACTTTTAACTTAAAGTAGGCGCAATATTCGCCGTGGTTTTTCAAAAGCAGCCTTGTTAAGTATCTCAACTGATTTTATTATTATTTACTACAGGTGAAATCGATTTCTAGTCAATTGTTGTCAAAGTTTAGTCTCGTGTCTTATGCTTTTTCCGAGGATACTAAAGTATGCTGTAAATTATATTATCAATTTATTGCACATTTTTATTGCACAATGGAAAATTGCACAAAAATTGACTGCATATTTCCAAAATTAACAGACCTCATTGTCTTATCACGAGTCAAAAACTCTCTTCTGCACGATATATTGCTCAAAAAACGTTTTCTTATGTAATGAATAATAAAATATGTCAGTTTACTAAGTACATTACTTGTACGTTTATTTGCGCGGGAAAGCAAAAGCGGATGCAAGCGAAACTATGATTGTGTTACAAAGATAAAAACATCGTTTGGACCAAATTACGTACATATTTAAAGCGTAAAAAGTCTAAAAATTAAGCAGAAATAGGACAAACTATTTCTGATTATTTTATAATTTACTTATTATTATCATTATCTCTACATTTAAGAACTCGATTGTTAGTACCTTGCGGTTCCGTTTCTTCATAATCCTCTCTGCAGCATACACTTGGTCCCCCAATTCTATTCGATCCATTTCTTTATCGTTTTTAAGTAGTAATGTGCTGAACGTTCAGTTTGATTGTACGAAGTATTGCAAATAACTCGAAATCAGTTAGTAGTAGAAAATATGACAAACATGTTCACGTATTGTATAACAAAAGGGTGCAAACGGTGTAAAATGCCCTTTATTTGGGATTCACTATCAACAACAATTAACCGAAGAACAAAGGGCTGAAATGTTTGTCAAGTGGTATTCCTTGCGTTACAGAAACGCATTAGAAAACATCTACATTTTGGATGCAGCAAAGTCACGAATTACCAGCACTAACCGTTCAAACTGAAATTGTTCAATTTAGTATTGTTTATCTGGTTTATCAATATTTATATTTACAATTGTCCCCACAAAACTTTGAAATGCTTGACAGTTCAAACGTCTCTGTCAGATCCATGTGGAGTGGTTTCGTACTAGGGATGACACGAAATTCTTGTCACAAATATTTTGGAACAGATATTGGTATGGAACAGTCGGTACCTGTTATCGATATTTAAAATAACAGGGCTCGCCTACGATGCTGATCCATGATACAATGAATACAAGGTAGAATATTAATCGGTCGAAAACTCGATTTTCGTGCGCACATGACGTCACTGGTTAGCACTTTGGTAAAGTGAACAGCTGATCCCATTTAAAATGCATGTAGCAGATTTTCATTGAATTTAAAACGCAATAGTTCAAAAGTGGAAAGTTATATGAGGACATGGTTTGCATTGTTGTATAGCTCAATGATTTCAAAATCGCGTTTAGAACCTGATTTGGGCTTATTGCTAAGAAAAATACCCTAAAAAAGTATTTACAAAATCTCTGATTTTCAGTGTTTTAGCTTGCTGTGTTGCCAGAGTGTCATTCGTAAAATCCGTTAGAGCCAAACGAAACAATTACATTATTAACATTATATCATTCAATGACTTCATTGAATCATGGGGTGAATGCGTTTGGGCGTATTTGGGAATCTTGTAGACAAACAAGTTTGACAGTTGGAAAGTTCACTGTAGAACGTGTGCAATCTATGGGAGAATGCTTGTTGTCGTGCGGATACGATTATCTGAGGGCATATTCGTATTTCAAAAATGATGATTATGAGAGGAATTTGCAATTCGAACTTTTGGGGTACTTGCCAAAAGCAAAGGCTATACTTTAGTGCACATCTGGCAACTATACTAGCCTACAAAATAAATAAATTTATGTTACTATTCATTTTCAAGTTTAAAACTAGCTGCAAAGCATTTTGTAATTATAAAGAAGATTTATTAAAAAATGTGACAAAGACTAAATAAGCTATATTTAATCACATTTAGCAGACAGGCAAAAATCACGAAACGCAGTGATTTCCACTGACGTCACGCAAATCGGCGCAAGATCCTACCTTGTATTCATTGGTCACATTCAGCCATAGAGTAAATAGTATCTATTACTGCTTAGATCCCGGGCCTATTTATTGGTCTCGTCCGTAAGACAGTATACAGATTGGAAGTTGTATTTGAACCCAAACGGCGCAGATATTATTGGGTGAGATATAGCGTTTGTTGTTTCGGTTGGAGCTGCTACCACAGATCACAGAGGTTCTCTGTAATCTGTGGCTGCTACTTGATAAGTAGCTGATAGAGTTCGCCACACTTTGCCTAACGTAACCTCAAACTCACTTGCGCATGTCATTTAAATAACGAGTCAGGTTGGCTTATATGCGCTAGTCTTGTCTCTGTTCGTGCTAGTGTTCGAAGCAGGGATGCCAGGTCTACCGATTTTTCGGTAGATCTACCGATTTGTCAAGGAACCTACCGATGACCATGCAGATTTCTACCGAAAAGTAACAAATAAAAGTTGAAAAAATGTACGTGGATTACTTAAAATAATATAACATCAAAGTACGTTGGTAATAGCAGACATTTTATTTTAGCACACCTCGTATTTTAGAGTTCTTTTTCAAACATAAAATGAATCAAGCCCGCCATATAGATCATAAATATGATAAAATTATGTTTTATGGATCCTGCAATAGTGAAATCAGGTTCCCCAGTATTTTTTTGTTTTAGAGCCAATCAAAGCCAAATCTGAGTTTTGGAGCCAAGTACCAATATTGAAATATGGAGCTGGTACATTCGTGTTTCCAATTGTATTTGTAACCTACTTATTACCTACTCATCAGCCAAGTTGAACAGATATTTTCATAGGTTAATCTTATGATACAATGAATACATTCATGTATGCATGTATACATTCATGTATGCATTGTATCATGGGTTAATCTAATGAAAACTAAGTTGAGAAGTAAGCTAAAAACGCGTACAATTTCATATTTACTTCTTTACTGACTTATGTTTATTTTAGTATTCCTGAAAGTTTAAAAAATTTGAAAAACGCGCGATTTCAGGGAGCCTTTAATAATGAAAGAAAAATGAGTACCGATTTTCTACCGAAAAGTCTCAAGCTTATCTACCGACACTCGATTTTCGGACCTGGCAACCCTGGTTCGAGTTATTCATCGTCACAGAACATACCCCCTTCCATAACCACAGAACCAGGGGGGATATGTTGTGTTCATCGTGTGCTTATCATAGAGTAAGTAAAATAAGTTATTTTACTTACTCTATGGTGCTTATCACAGAGATACTCTGCTTTCATTTGTGTTTTGGTATTCAGTCAGAGACAAGTTATTACACAATAAGCCTTGTTCTGTGGACAAGTTTCAGTAAGGACAAGTGCTTGTCTCTGCTTTCAGTCTTTATCTATGGTAAGATGTGCGTAATTTTTAAATCTTCTTTTATAAAGTCAATCATTCAATATTATTAGCCTGTATATATATTTTTTCTTATTTGCTACTGTTTTGAATATTTTCAGTATACTATTTTTAAGCTAAAATGATGATTTAGAGAAAATTCGTTTAAGGTTATAAACTGAATACCCATGTGGATGCTATTCTAGGGCGGTCTGATTCTCTGTTAGCCGTTCTACTACATCTGCTTCAACAAATGCAGCAAGCTAAAGCCACCTTTAATTTTTGCAGTCTCACCGAAAGATCAGTGCCTCTCGTCACAGTTTCATGGACTTCTACCCCCAAAAAAGGCCCAAGAGGCATCGTGGTAGGTCAAGGCGTTCCCTAAGGATGGCCCATCAAAACCCGTGCATACAATACAAAGTTGGTATGACCCACGTGGTTCCTGAAGCTGATCGTCTAGGTTCAAGTAAGTAGCTAATCCATCGAATACTATTTCCACACTACTAGATAAACGCCATAAAATATCAGGGAAGCTTTATGAATCACGTTATTACAGAAAAAAATCAATATATTGTTATTGACATGGTCAGTTAGGAGCTTACCCTCCTGCTGTTGGCAATGGGAGTCCTTTTTCAACGGGGCTTCTGCCATAGTGTCATAGAACATGCACCCCTAGGGTGGTGCGGGAAATATATTCCTGAAACAGTGTGTAAGTCCCTGGACTATGGCACATTGAAAACCATATTTCTCACATACCCATTTTTTTAAACCATTAATTTTGATGTACGACAATCTGCTGAGTTGTGTTAATGAAAATTTTTATAATTTAGATTAAACTGCTCAAGCAAAGGCAAAAGAACGCTCAGATTATGCAATTAATGGCGGTGCCATTGCTGAAAAAGTTGCATGGGCTGAAGAACATCTGGAAGAGCCCTTCCCTGTCAAACAAGTATTTGGCCAAGACAAAATTATTATCGGAATTACCAAGGGCAAAGGTAAGTGTCCTAACATATAGTCATTCATTAACATATTATGATGGAATTTCATGGAACGTGTTTTCTGATTATAATTGAGAATATAACCATGCTGCCTTCCTACTGACCATATTTAAAAATTATTATTGATCGCATAACTGTGGGTCTAATTATGGCTTTTTCACCAGGTGTTACCTCAAGATAGCATACGAAGAAATTGCCCCGTAAGACTCACAAAGGTCTAAGGGAAACTTGCCTGTATTGGAGCATGGCATCCTTCCAGAGTGTCAACGGCAAAGTAAGTACAAGGAATAAATTCAGTTTTGTTCAACGGTTTTCTGGTTAAATGATGATACTATAGAGCCAAAAGGATTATGAATACTTCGTGATTCTGAATGATAGGACTGATTCTTTTGTCAATAGTATTTACTAACTTGTTTTCGCGTTACTCTTCTACATTTGAGGTTTTTTCCAGGTTATCAAGAACAACGCTTCTACTGAACACGATCTTTCAGAGAAGATCATTATCCCCATAGGAGAATTCCCCCATTATGGTGAAGTTAACAATGACCACATCATGATTAAGGGTTGTTGCATGGGGCCTAAGAAACCTGTTCATCACTTTGAGAAAGGTAAGTTGCCACTGATAAATGGTTATTCAATTGTACCGATTAATCTAATCTATATCCCATGTGGTATTTACCATGTTTATTTTTTCAGTCGCTCCTTGTGCACTCCAGTGTGTTGCTCTGGAGAAGATCAATATTAAGTTCATCGATACACCCTCCAAATTCGGTCATGGTCGGTTCCAGACTCCTGCCGATAAGGCTGCCTTTACGCGTCCTGTTAAAAAGGACAGGTTGGAGGAGTAGGCCAAATCGGCTCCTGTAGCAGTCGCCAAAGAATTTAAGATTCTTTCAAATAAATGACTACACAAAAATGAAGTTTCTTCCTTGCTCCCTGCGTGACCCAAACTAAACTAAAGCGTTTAATTTTTTTATTGGTGTACATAACCGCAGTAAAAGTAGTCTTGAGTCCTGAGATTCAATAGGAGATTTTTTACGTTTGAACCCCTTTAGGTGAACTGTTTCAGGAAGTATAGAACATAATTACATTGTTGCAATGATTAGAATGGCGTTTATGCAGTCAATTAAGAATATTCAAAACTATAACCAGCATAGTCTGCGTCTTTCATTGCATGCTGCTCGAATTGACGGCCTTTGCATTATTCCGTTTATGGAAGGGGATGCGATTAATCAATCTAGTTTCAGAATGTTCCTAGTTCACTAGTCACCTGAATTTAGTGTGGCTCACTGGCAGAAGTATGAAAAATGGTGAGGACAATTAGGTATTTAACAAGACTGATCGTTATAAATATTGGTATATTCAAAAGGAAATCAATGTTATTGCATGAAAAGTACGAATTATCTTACAATACTAAAGTAATGGGAATATTTTTCCCGCTTAACAATTGAATCTTAAACCAAATACCCAGTTTTATTAACTACATTGAATTAGGTCGTTTTATAGAGCTTTTACCTTCAGCTGCTTCATTCGGGGCGCTCTCTTTTTGGCTTGGCGTTTCTCTTCTTTTATTTCCCAACGCCTCTGTTTTTCCGGATCTTCTTCAGCCATTACTCGTTCTTTTTCCTGGCGTTTCTTTTCTATCCGTACAGCGGCCGCAGCTTCAGCTCGAGCTTGATGAGTAGATTTTAGATAGGCTCCTTCAACTTTCTGTCGGTTTTTAATAGCCTTTACTTTCCCTGTAATGCATATGATATTGCATACATAATTCATAGGTTTTCAAATGCTTCTCACCTTCTTTTGACAAGCGATATCTCTTAATTTTATCAATTGAGTAAAATACCATACTCATTAATGGTTTCAGTCTTGTTACGGCTTCCTCAATTGGCACACCTTTAGTTGGCAGGTTAAATCCAAACCTTAATACCTATGAAAACCACAGAAAATAAAATATTGCGGTGTTACAAAACTTTCGATTGGTGTGCAAATTGTTTACGAACCTTATCTACATCAGGTAATTTATTTGGAGTACTAGAACTAGTATCTTCTTGCGGTTTTACGCCAGAAAATTGGTCCGAAAAGTGAATATAATCGACATATTCTGGATACTTGTTTAATATGGCATCTATTTTAGTGTCTAAAATCGCGGAAGAAACTTCGCCCATTTCTGACATCACTTGAAAGCTGGTCGGGATGTTAAATTTTTCTCCGCCCTGAAATTCATCCATTCAAAAAATCTGAAAGCCCAATCCAATCAAAATCTATAAACCTTTCTTTCAGGACAATAAATGCTAATATCCTGTAAATCTTTCGTCATTTGCAGTGCTGTTTTTTTACTAGCAACCGCAAATACGAAGGAATCCATATCCTCTTTGTTCATCATCACTGTTATGTGTATCTGGTCCAATGATGGTTTCATCAAATTCGCCACGAGTCCTACTAAATCATGACGCTGAAACCCATGTTGATGTAAAACGTTTCGACTTAAAGCTGATACAAAGACCTTCTTTAGGGCTTATTTACCTTAATCATTCGTAACTCCACCAGCATTCCTTCACAGCAAGTTCTCCCACTGCACCACAACAAAAACACACTTTCACTTTCCTTAATAAAGTTAACATCATCATTTCGTTCTTGGCTTCCATCATCACCAACCAAAGCAAAGTTTTCCTCGAGAATTTGCCTATGCGCTTGAAACCATGTGTTGGCAATTTTACCATTTTTTTTTCTACCTTAAAAGTAAAACAATTCCAATGACTCTTGGAGCTTAAAATAGATGTAACTGCGTAACATATTTAAAAACCATGCGACAACTACCTAGCATATAATTCATAAAGTAAGCAACCAATCCTGTTGCCATTAGTATTTCAAGATAATAATTCTCCCAGTTAAGCGTCAAGTTAACAGGAACCTTGGCTATAGTTATCTTTGGCTCTGAAACGGGTTTTTCCTCTTTTTCCTCAAAGCCTTCAAACTCATCTGCATCTTGAAAGTGCTCGAATTCTGGATCGATATCGATTTCATCTTCAACTTTTACCTTGAAAGTGCAAGATTGGAAAATATAACTATATAATATTGACCATGATAACTGTTGATTTAAAGTTAAATTATTGAAATACTATATGTCAATATGTTTTAGGAAGATGTTTTTTATATATGGTTTTTCAATTACTTTTTCTACCTTATTTTGAGGCGTATTTTCGATCGAACATCTCATAAATTGTTCATTATTTTACATAATTAAAATCATTATGTTTAAAAATGTTTAATCTAAAGTATGACTCGAGCCTTAACAAGGCAACGGAATTCCATATCAGACAACAACTTGTTTACTAAAGGGATTAAAACTAGACTTTCACGCAACCTTTTCTGAGGCATTACATGTATTATATTTCACGATCTGATGAGTTATACAATCTTACAATGGGGGCGACTTGAAAATGTTGACTGTCTGATAAGAAAACCTAAAGTTCCTAAACCTTTCAATTTAATATTATCTGAAAACTTAGAATAAGACTAGAGGTAGAGGTATTAGCCAGGAGGACATCCGAACAAGGCTAGAACATTTTAAAGTTCATTTTCTAAACGATCGATACGATGGCTTTCGAGCGACTTGAAAAGGAAATATGCCTTTACTTTTTAAAGTTTTTGGAATATACAGGGTTGCTCATTAGTGCGTCAAAGTGCGATATCTCAGTAAATATGAAGTTTACAAGAAAATTCGTCCAACGAAAGTTTTTCACGTTTAAAAGGTCCACATTCTAAAATTACTTTCCAATATACAAGGTGCATCATAAACGTGTGGTAGTTACCAACTCTGGTTTTTTAAATGAAACCCCCCCTTTTTTTTGTTATTTTCAGATTGGCCGTTCAATTTTAATTTATGTTTGTTTCAACCGTTT